ATCCTCTAACTCCTTGGCCTCACAGGAGACTCCATCAATGCCAGATTTGTCACTGATTGATCTGCTTGGACTTGCTGTGGAAGATTGACGGGGCTTGGGGCTCACAGCCCCCACTCCAGTAACCTTGTCGGAGCCCCAAGTCTTACTGGAGGTCTCAGATAAAATAATATCTGTGCTTGTAGACATGGGGGCAACTTATAGTGTACTTCCTGAATTTTCAGGACCTTGTAGTAAGTCCTTGATTTCTGTTGTGGGCATTGATGGCCAGCCTACCCAGCCTTTGCAAACTGGGCCTGTCCCATGTTAATTCCAGACTCTTTTCTTTACCCATAGCTTCCTAGTAATCCCAACATGTCCCACACCCCTTTTAGGTAGAGATCTTCTTCAAAAGCTTAATTTCTCCTTTGCTTTCTCCCTCCCCACAGCCCTAATCCTCCAAACAGCCTCAAAATGAGTCACAAAGCCATTCCCTCCCCTTCCTCCTTCTCTGGTTGACCCCAAAGTTTGGAACACATCCAATCCCACTCTTGCTACACATGCCATGCCTGTTTTAATCTATCTCAGGGATCCTTCAATTTTTCCCTGCATTCCCCAATACCCCATTGCTCCCCAACATTTAAGGAGACTTAAACCCATAATTAAGCACCTTTTGGACATTGGTTTTCTTAAACCTACCCATTCACCCCACAATACTCCCATCCTCCCAGTACTCAAGCCTGATGGGTCCTATCACCTGGTACAGGACCTTAGGGTAATCAACAGTGCTGTTACCCTGACTCACCCAGTCATGCCAAATCCCTATACCATGCGCTCTCATATCCCTCCCTCCACCACTCACTTTACAGTTATAGATCTTAAAGATGCCTTCTTTACTATCCCCCTACACCCTGATTGTCAAAACCTCTTTGCGTTTACGTGGACTGACCCAGACACTCTCAAGTCTCAACAACTTACTTGGACAGTGCTCCCCCCAGGGTTCAGAGATAGTCCCCACTTCTTTAGCCAAGCTCTCGCTACTGACCTCACAGAACTTGATCTCAAACCTAATGTCCTTCTTCAATACATAGATTACCTTCTGTTATGTTCCCCATCCCACATGCTAGCCATACACCATTCAACCAGTCTTCTTAATTTCCTTGCTAGTCGTGGATACAGGGTCTCTCCTGCTAAAGCCAAGAGAGCCTCCCCAAAAGTCAAATACCTAGGTCTCACTCTCACCCCCACCACTCATTCCATCACCACAGATCATAAGGCAATTCTTCGAGATCTCCAGGTACCCAAAACTAAACAAGTTACATCTTTCCTAAGTTTAGCTAATTTCTTTCGTTTCTGGATTCCTAACTTTGCAGCCCTAGCTCAACCCCTCTACAAGGCCGCTAAGGATCCCTTATCAGAACCCCTGGATCCTACAAGGCCCATACATTCCTCCTTTCATAAATTAAAACAGGCTCTCCTAAAAGCTCCAGCTCTTACCCTTCCTCATCCCACCCAACCTTTCATCCTATACACTACTTCTCAGGGTCACAATGCTATAGGTGTACTAGGATACAAAAAGGGACCTTCTTTTCAAGCAGTAGCTTACTTGTCAAAACAGTTAGATCATACAGTAAAAGGATGGGCTCCTTGTCTCCAAGCCCTTGCAGCTGCAGCCCTCCTGACACAGGAAGCTAAAAAGTTTACATTAGGGCAATCTATTACAGTAGAGAGAAAGCCGGACTCCAGCGGTCGGGGGATGTTGTGGTTTTCTCTCTCCGCGTTCTCAGAATAAAGGCCTCTTTTGTTTTATACTTCTCATCTTTTGGATGTACTATATAATCTTATCACATAGCGTAAGTATCATGTTTGTAACAGGATACTTTATCCCCTACGTATATTACCTTTTATGTCATTCATTTGTAAATTTCCATTAATAAAGTATTATTCATCTATTTTACTGTGTAAGTGCTTTAAGAAATAGAACTACTAGCTCCATTTCAGCAGATGAAGGTAATACTATTTTATAATGTTTCTATTCTTCTTGTTTTACTTTGTTCAATTTTTTCAAGAAAGAGAATAGCTGGAACAGTAAAAGAGAACTTAAAAGCCAGTCCCTGAGCAGATATATAGACTAAGGGATTGAGAGTTTAATAGAAAAAGGGACAAATGCCAGAAACAGCAAGAAATCAGAATGCAACAGAGACACATAGTTGGAAGTTAAGGGAGTTTTCCCGGATTAGGGTGGGGAGAACTGGGCATTTAAATTCTGTGCTTTTGGAGCCATGACCCTCCAGCACAAGAGCCTTGTCTTCCTCATCTTTCACCCACAGTGCCCCAGGAGCCAAGGCGTAATAGAGCTTCATCAAGATTGGTTGAACTAAATTTAGATTGGGACCCAGAGGTGGGGAAAGGAAAGAGGCTGGGAACTGGAAAGCTGTCACTCACAGTGCCACTTAGAGGAAAGGGACTAAAGAACCAAGCTTTTAAGTAAGGTTGTGGATCCCATAGACAGGAGGTAGGCTTTAGGATGTTTTGCAGAACTCTCAAGCAGGAAGTGACTTGCTAAGAAATTGCATATGACACAGCCAATGAAAGCTTCTACATCTGCAGGGGGAAAACCACCTTATTTACTGTCTTCTTTCTATTCTTATTATTATTTTTTGTCTTTTTTTTTTTTTTTTTTCTTTTTACTGGTACCAGGATCGAACTCACGACTGCCTGCTTGGAAGGCAGACGCTTATGTCGCTGAGCTAAATCCCCAGCCTCTACTGTCTTCTTAGAAAAGGCCCAAATCCTCTGTTCTTAGCTACTCTCCAGACGTGCTTTATCTTCCAGTTCTGCAGCTACATCTCTGCATCCTCTTTTTGTGCAGATGAAATTCATGGCTACCCTCAAATAATTTTAGAACTCTTGTATAAACATTCCCTAAGCCAATACAGCAACCCCTTGAGGAGATTTGAAAAGATTGGTGGCATTCTTCTAAAGCCCTCCGAGGTTTAGCACACTCCACTTCATTTAATCTTACGTTTGCCCTGGGATTGCTCCTCTGCCCCTCTTATCTTCACCACTCCCAATACACGATTTCACCAAAATAATATTCACTCCAACATTCCTCCTTGAGAAAGTCTTTCCTGTTCAGACCACAGCCAACACCCCTAGTTTGCTCTCTTTGTACTACATATTTTTCCTTCATGGCAGTTTTCAAATCTTGTCTTTAAGTGTTTCTGTGATTATTTCACTAATATCTCTTTCTCTCCACTAGACTGTGAGCTGTACCAGAAGGCAAACGTGTCTGGTTTTTCTCGCCATTTTCACTCACAGTGCCTGGCCCTCTGCAACTACCAAGGGAGTGCTCCATATATAATATTGTGATTAATTATGGAAGAAGCAACAGTTTTTGCAAGGCAGGCGCTTATGCCGCTGAGCTAAATCCCCAGCCAAAGCAACAGTTTTTGCAGCCTTTCACCACATTGCCCAGAATGTGGCAATCCTTTGACCACATTTACTTCTTAGACTATACCTTACTTGATTGATTCTATAAAACCTTGAGTTGGAAATGCTGTAGAAAAATGTCAATTTTATATCCTGTGCAGAAAGTACATTATTTCTTAGAAAATGTTAGAGTTAACGTAGGCTTAAGACTGCTATCTTTTGAAAGGCATGCTTAGATGGTTGGTCCTTACTTGGCTAATACCTCAGAACTTGAACTTTGTTCCACTATGCCCTGATAAGAGTAATTTACGCTGTGCATGAACCATGCAATTTGGTTTATGCTGACTATCTGCTTTCTCTCTCTGAAGGTAGAATTTTGGTACATGCCAGACAGAGGATGCTTATATGACTGAGAATAAGCTCTGGAAGGGATTAAGCACACTCATGTGAGTCCACTAAGAGAGGACTCGTGACAGCTTGCATCTAGTTTCCTCTGGACTTTATCCTATGTATCCTTTTCCCTTTCCTGGTTTGCTTTATGTCCATTTGCTGCAATTAGTTATGGTCACCAATATGCTAATATGCCAAGCCTGTGATTCTTCTTACTGAATCACTGAAACAGAAGATGGCCTGAAATCCAGTAATATACTTCACAAACATTTCCACAATTCAACTACTTTTCTTGTGTCACAAGAAAAGCTACAGTACTCTATCTAAAGCCACCATCATCTCTTACCCAGTCAATAGAGCTTCCAGTGTATGAACTTTTGGGTGATACCCTCAAACTACATGCAAACCATAGTAGCCTGATTCCTAGACTCAGGGATACCCAAGCTACCTGGTGAAGAACAGCTCCAGTGCAAACCTGTTCACAAAGGCAGGAAGTATCCCCCCCCCAAAAAAAAACATCGCTTGAAAAATATTCTAATTCCATGCACACACACACACACACACACACACACACACACACACACAAAAACACACACACACAGAGCATACACAAAATACATTGACAGAGTCTGTAAGAAGGCTCAGGCATTTAACTTATTGGACAAAGATGTCAAAGCCATGTTAAATATGATGAAAGGAAAAGACAAAACTAAAGAAAAGCAGAAGTAGAATACTTAAAAAATACTAACACAAAGATACATCTAACAGAGATATACACAGAGATCTCCACTAACAGCAGATTATGCACTTTCTCAAATGTACATATGAAATTACACTATAAATTTTTTGTTTGTTTTTGGATTTTTTGTTCTTTTGGGGTTTGGGTTTTTTTTTTTTTGTTTGTTTGTTTGTTTGGTTGGTTGGTTTTTTGTTTTTTTTGTTTTTGTTTTTGTTTTTGTTTTTGAGACAGGATCACTATGCAGTTCGTACTGGTCTTGCTCACTTTGAAGCCCAGGCTGGCCTCAAACTCACAGCAGTCCTCTTGTCTCAGCCTCTACACCTGGCTGTAAGTCTTTTAAATTCTTGAAAAAATAAAATTATGCAAAGTATGTTTATGATCAATTTGTTAATGAAACTGAAAGTTAGTACCCAGATCTTTAGTGTGGGAGGAAGTTTTATGCCTCCTCTCTGAGAAGGGGAAATAAGATTTTTCAACTGACAGCACATAGCAATGTTGACTACCTCAAGCTCTCCAGCTCCAGTCTACACCTCCCAGAGCATGTTTTGGCTGATCCAAGCTCTTCCACTTCTTTTCTGCTTTGGCTCAGGTAAATCCCCATGCAAAAGCTGTAGTCACTGAGTGATTGTCTTGCTTTTGTGCAGATTGCTTATTCTAAATCACTTAGAGTCGACTGATGAACAGATTGTCTGCTAAGACGCAGAGAGGGGTTTGCTGTGATGCCTGTATACTGCCACTGTCTTTCCACTTTGAATGCTAAGGGTCTGAGATGGCTTAGGAATAACAACTTTAACTGGGTCCATAATGGAAATAATCTCAGGGGCACAGGAAATTAACTTTTGTAAATGATGATCGTTTGAGATTTGTGAGCGACATGTTGTGGTGCAAAGAGAACTAAGATTTAAAAAATGAATCTTCTACCGCTTAGGTACTAAGTTACTGTGTAATTGCATGTATGCATTTGGGGCCTCACTATCTTTATCTAAAATATTAAAGGCCTATGATTCAGCCTCACTGGAATTTCTGGGTTCAAACAGCAACCCCAGAAATGATCCTCTTATCTTTTGCCAAGTGTGAAAAAAGAAAAAAACTGGTGTCCAGCTTGCCCTTTCTTTGATGCAAATTAGAGGCCATCTAGTCCAATAACGGTTAAAGAGCAGTGAAAAATGAATTAACCAATGTAACTTTGTTCCCTGCTGTCTGTTACATGCCATGTTTGGGAAACCACAGTGGTCCTTTAGGCTAAAGTATGGCATTCAGCAAGAAGAAACCAAACAAGAAAGTTAGCACAAAGCTAGTGGAGCTGGGGATATAGCTCAACAGCACAAGCATCTGTGTGGCAAGGGCAAAGTTAGGAGTTCAAGCTCTGATACCAAAAAAAAGCTAACATTTCTTGAATGTTTATTTGATTTTAGCTACTGGGCTAGGGATGTACATGTACCATGCTTAGAGGTCATATGACAATTCTACCCACTTATGTTATTAATAACCCCATTTTAGCATGAAGAATGCAAGCTAAGATGATTTAAATAACAAGCCAGCATGTAGTCAGCGCTTGAATAATTCTGAGACTCAATGACGGTTGAACAAACCTGTCAGCAGCACAAGAGAAAGCAAGAGATGCCATAAATGTAGAACTATGTTAACTGGCACTGGGAATCAAAGGAAAGCAGGACTCCTTAGGTCATTCGGTAAACACTCACCAAGCCTTGGCTGTTGCAGTTCTGGGAATTATATCATAAGCAGAGCAGGCATTTTCCTGCTCTTGTGGAATTAACATTTTGGCAGGGAAGATAAACTATAAATAAATCAGTAAAACCAAATATTGGATAGTGATAAACGACAAGGAGGACATCATTCAAGCAGGAAAGGGGGATATGAAATATGGCAGGGAGGCAGTCATGTTTCAGACAAGACAGCCAAAGAAGGCTACAGAGTTGGGCTCAAGCGGCCACGTGGGGGAAGGGGAGTTCAGTGTGGACTTGCTAACTGAAGGCATCAGGCTGATGACAGTCACAAGGAGATTTTCTGAAAGCAGCTGGAAATTTAGGACTAGGAGTTGGACCAAGGATGAAGACTTGAGAATCAGCAGCACAGAGACAGTGAAGCAAAGGAGAAAACTGGAATGAGAACAGAACTTTGAGAAATATATACAAGAGGCAGAAAGAGGAAGCAATCTTTCATTCATTGTAGAGCTCCTTCCTGACCTGGGACCAGGGAATTGTGGTTTAGGTTTTTTTTGTTTTTTGGGTTTTTTTTTTTTTTTTTTTTTTTTTTGCAGTTCATAATATCCTTTATTAGATAAGGCACAGTCTATCTGATGTGTTACAAACAGAACCCTGCAGCAGCATAGTTTTTATTATTGTTATAAATTGTGGTAAAATGAGCTCTGGATTAAAAATCTTAACAATATAACCATGAAATGTTAAGAAAACAAAATTTTATGTAAATCATAGTACTGACTTCCAACATGAAAGTAAAAACAGCAAAATTATGTACTTCACATAAATACATTTGGAAAACAAAAGTAGGCTACAGTCTGTGCCATGTTGATATACAGTTTCTGAAGTTGTTTTACAAGACTTTGATAATAAAACTCTTAAACTTATGTTCATGTTTCTGTAAAAAAATAAAATAGATATATGCAGACATCTAGTTAGGACATGAAAAACCAGAAGATTTACTAATCAACAAGTTGTGTGTAAAAAAATAAGCTTTTAAAAAATACATGTTTACATGTTTCTAAATATGCATATGTTTACATACATATTATAACACCAAATTCAAGGTTATTATTTGTAGACAGAATATGAGTATATACACCAAGAAAATTTCAAATCTAGTACAAGCATTGTGGAAAAGCATTCGCTACAAAGAGTTATTGGAAAAGACATGAAAGTAGTCACACTAGGGATAATCCTCACGTGTGCCAGCAATGTGGGAAGGCATTTACTACACAAGTCTTATCAAAGACGTGAAAGCAATCACACAAACAAGAAGACGTATTAAGTGGGCCATGTGAAAAAAGATTTGCTTGTAAGCATTTTGTACACAGAGCTCTTATAGGGGGATGAACCGTATTTACATAAACAATGTGGGAGAATCATTCGGTGAACTTATTTTTGGAGTGTGATCTTATATATAAAAGCCTATTTGGAAAAACTGCTCAGAGTTCCTTATAGAATAGATACCTGTACACATATAAATGAAAATTTGATGTCAATATTTCTTCATGGACTATCCATAAATTAATGTGCAGATGATGATCTAGAATGCATTCTGTTTTTCAGTAAATCACTTGTAAATAACTGAATTGAATATCTGTAGTGTTTTGTTTTTCGTTTTGTTTTGGTTTGGTTTTTTTGGTACCAGGGATCAAACTCAGGACCTTGCACTTGCCAGGCAGGCACTTATGCCACTGAACTACATCCCTGGCCCCAAATATCTGTAGTGTTTACTAGAAAAAATCCTGATGTACTTTTATGTAAGCCATTGTCCTTGAACCTAATCCATAGTATCTTCTAATACAACAAATTGAATCTAAATGTATTTCTTACTTCCAAGTATGGTTACTATTTATGTAATTTTATTTTTATTTACTTATTTTAATATGGGTAGTTACAGACTGCTAAAAAATAAGTTTTATTAATAGTGACTTCAGCTTTTACCTCACTTTTACCTTCTTACAAGAATGAATGACCTCTATAATTATTCTGAATATCCCCATGTTAAAATCCCTGTCCCTCATATCAAAATGCCTGTCCCTCTATGAATTTCCATGAATATTTCTTGTAACAGCCCTCTGAAATAAGTATTGTTCCTATCCTCACAGACAAAGAAAGAAAGTACAGAGCACTTAAGTAACTAGCTTTAAGTCACATAGTTGCAGGAGGAGGGCTGCAGAGAGAGAAACACTTGATTGTGTCTGTGGAGGCCTGCTGCAAGGGGTTCAGAGAGGTTGGTGGTATAGTAGTTAGCACAGCTGCCTTCTGATGCAAGCTGTTCTGAGGTCCAAGAGCAACGCAGTGTCACCAGAGCTGGAAATCGGAGCTGGACTCCAGAGTCTGTGCTCAGGGCCACTTTGCTGTGCTCCTTAGCTTACTACACAAAGCTCCACAGTCACTCAAGTGTGTATGTAATTGTATAATGTGGTATAGAGAAAGGCAGACACAGATTATGTGACTGAGGTTGCAGGAAGCAGATGTGAGTGTTCTGAGGAACAGGAGACAGCAGTGTTTGGCAGTGTGGGTAAAATCAGTACATCTGGCTGCTTTTGAGATTTTTTTCAAGTAAAAAATGTGACAGGTTTCATGGTTAAGAGATTACCATCTGATGGTTCCCTTTCCTCTGAGCAGCATTGCCTACTTTATACCAACACATTCAAATGTTTATTTTTGCTCGTCACAGGCAGAGAGCCATTTTGTATATTAGTATTACCCTCAAAGACACTTGCGCCTCTACCTCTCAGAATCGGTGGTCCACACCCACTGTGACCTGTAGCCCTCTGTACCTCTCAGTTTTGGGTTCCTCAGTTCAGATCTAGTGTCAGTAGCTTCGGCATCAACACTCAGATTATTTGGATGAAATTCATGTAACATAAAATATTTTCAAAATATACAATCAGGTATAATCATCATGTTGTACAACCACTAACTCTGTTATGCTAAAACATTTCACCAGCAACAACAAACAAACACAAAAAACCCCTTGTCTACTACACAGTCGCCTCCCATTTCCCCCTCTTCCCAGCTGCTGGTAAATACCAATCTGCTAACTGTCCTCGTGGTTTACCTATCCTGGATATTTCATGTGAATGAAATTGTATAATATATGACCATTTATGTCAGGTTTCTATGACTTAACATAATATTTCCAAGGTTTGTTCACACTGCATTGTGAATTAATAATTCTCTCCTTTACACAGTTGGATAATTTCATTATCTATACACACTACATCTTATTTATCCATTTATCGATCAGTATGTATTGGAATTGTTTTCCACCTTTGCTTCTTATACCTAGTGCTGCTGTGACAATTGTATACAAGTATTTGTTTGAGTACTTGTTTTCAGTTTGTCTGGGTACACAGCCAGGAATAGAAACATTGAGTCTCACAATAATTCTGTGCCTAACTTTTTGAGGAATTGCAAACTATTTTCCACAATGTCTGTACCATCATTCTGTGTTCTCACAGGAAGTTTATAAGGAATCTAATTTCTCCACGTTCTCATCAACACTTCTTCTCCTTTGTTATTTTTAGCACCACTGTGATTGGTGTGAAATTGTGTCTCACTATGGCTTTCATTTACATCTCTCTATGGAGAAATGACTGAGCAACTTTACATAAACTTAATGGTCATTGGTACGTCTTCTCTGGAAAAACGCCTACTCAAGTTCTTTGCCCTTTTTAATTTCTTTTACTTTAAAATGTATTTATTAGTGCCTGTTAATTTTATAAAATACTGGGTTTCAATGTGGTATTTTTATACATATATATTAGTCATATCTATCACTCCATCACTTCCCTTACATCTCCCTCCACTCGTCCCCATATTTCTATCCTCTTGTTTGTTAATAATCTCCCTTTAA